CAAGGATGTAATGCAAACTGTGAAAAATGAATACTCAGAAAACTAAAGGGAATATGGAAGAAGAGGTTTGACTTAAATAACTCTGGAAATGAACATTTTTGGCTGAGAAGAAAGATAAAAATGACTGTATACAAATACTGGTAAATTTGTTTCTCACAGGAGTATGGGTTAGCAATTCTTAAAGTACTATACATACAGTAAATAAGTATATAATGCTGTAGCTAATAATAGTAAGGTTTCTCACTGTGGGAGAAAGAAGTTACTAACAAGAAAATGAGGAATGCTAGAATCCCTACGGTACTAGACTGGAGTTGGAGGTATCGATATAAACTAACTTGCTTCATGCATACACAGATATGACAGTGCTAATAGAAATAAGCAGATATGTGTACATATGTACATTAGTATACATTCCCTAGCTTTGACTGTTGAAAGGTCTTGAAATAGTAACATTTCAGTAGTAGTGAAGACACCGTGCACCTAGATATTGGCTTTTAAATACTATTTTCCAATAAGATGGGCTCCTTGGTGTAGAGGATGGTCCTATCATTGGGGCCAGGAAAAAACACGGTGATCTATAGCATCTTGCATACTTAGAAAGTAAAATTTTGCTTAAAAAGAAGGGAAGAGAAACAAAGCATATTAAAAACCACCAGAAGCAAACGTCAAAGGATTCCTAGTGCCTAGTGTTGGAAAATATGAGCCATAAAGTAAATAACAATAGTACTGATACTAATGTAGAAAGTACATATAAATAAATGATTAAATAAATATATGAGGTGAGGCATATTTTTTCTTTATGATAGTCTGCCTCTCAACTCTTCAAAATTAAATGAGAAAAAAAAACAAAAACAAAAAACAACCAGAGAAATGAAGGTCAAAATCTGATACTCTATGCCTGTTACCTGGGCTCACATCTTCTGCAACAGTGACACCACTGTCACTGAGGAAGACTTCACCATTAAAATTGGGTACCTGCAGTTGAAAAGACTCTGCATTCTCCTGAACATGAGATCTAGGGCCTGAGCTACCTTTCTTTTTAATTCTGTCAAAATATCAGTCTACAGATTTCATATTATTAGCATTTAAGAATTTGTTCCGAGAACACGTAAAAATGATAAGAATCTTGTTTTTTAATCTATGTTCAGCTAACACCTCACTTGTATGACCAAAAACAAATTTTAATTTCTTCTAAAAATCAATAGAGTAAAATTTGGAGGTCTAAATTAATTTTTTTTAATCCCACCACATCTATTATACCCACCTCTGATCCCTTTTCCATCTCCTTCTCAATTTCAGAAACCTCACTTGATGAATGATTACTAGTTTTATAATTTTGCTTGGGATATTTCTTTCTGATAGAACAATTAAAATGAACAAATGCAGAAATAAGGAGGGGGATAGGAAATTACCATTAGACCACCAGAGTAATAAATGCTATAGGTAGCTCCACAAGAAATGCTAAAATCAATGTCCACAAATTAAAGGATAAACAGGGTATCTGTGTAACCTCAAAATATTTCCTCCTAAGTACTTACTAATTAAGGGGAAAATAGTAATTTTTCAGGGAAAAACCTGCCAGGCAACATCATAATGAAGTGACCAAGGTTACTAACATCGCCTGTAATGAAACCATGACAGCAGGTAACCCTTGATCTCTTGTGCTGAGGAAACATCTTATCTGGTATTCTTTACCTTTGTAACTGCTATTTAACTATGAGAAAACCAACTTCAAAAATATTCTATAGAACACCTAACCAGGAGTAGTCTGAAGCTCATTAAAGACAAGGAAAGACCAAGGAACTGGCAAAAAATTGTTGGAGAGGAAGGAAATAAATGTTTATGTGAAATTCTAATAAAGTCTATAATTTACAAGTCAATGCTGATTCTTTAGTTTTGATTACTGTTCCAAAGTTATGAATGACGTTAACATTAAAGGAAGCAGTGGAAAATATACAAAATCTCTGTACCAGCTTTAGAACTCACTTACATGTCTAAAATTACTTCAAAAATCAAAAGATCTTTTTTCAAAAGGAAGTCATAAAAAGTCGATTCCTATTTCAAATATGTGTGTATCTTTTCTGTGAGTAGATTTTTCCCCCAAATGAGTGTAAAGAGAGCAACGCTTTAAAAAACTCTTTAAAATTTCTTTTAAAAAGAATTCCTACACTGGTCAATTAAAGTAAGATATTTTCATGGTATCTTCTGTGAAGGCAAACCTAAGAGGTTCATTTCCAAATGAGTCTCTTTATTGCCCTAAAGATTATACAAGGGCATTGATCAGGGTTCATTACTTTAAGAAGTTTTCTGCTGTAGGTCGAATACTTGTGTCCCTCCAAAATTCTTATGCTGAAATCCTAATCTCCCATGGGATGGTCCATGAAAATGGGGTCTTGGAAAGTGATTTCTTCTTGAAGCAGAATGCTCATGAAAGGGATCCATGTCCTTCCTTATAAAAGGGGGTCCAGAGAGCTCCCTCACCCATTCTGTTAGGATATTCAAAGAGACAGTCTTCTATGACCCATAAAGTGAGTCCTCACCAGACATAAAACATGTGTCAGAATACTGACTCCCCAGGCCTTCAGAACTGTGAAACACAAGTTTCTATTGCTGATACCCAGTGTATCTTACTCCGTAACAGTATCCCAAGTGGATTAAGGCTTTGACTTTCTTTGGTAGTCCAAATATCTCCAAAAAGAAATTACAAAACAACTCCATCCAAGTTCTTCATTATCTACTCATGTATACTCGAAAAGATAAATAGCACATTCAATTCTGCCCACCTTCAACAAACACATCTAATTTTCTAATTAATTATGTCAAACTGGAAATGACTCCGTATTTCACTTTTAAAATGAAGTATCTTTTAAAAAATATTTATTTATTTACTCATACAGCGCTGGGGTACAAGCCAGAGTTGCAGGGGGTGAAAGCATTCATCACAGACAAAATGCGAGCAGGACAGGCAGAGTACACTGTTGAGGGGAGCAGCGGGAGGGTCAGGATAGGTCTGTTTGGATCTCCTCCAGGGTGGGGATTGAACCTGCACTGATGTGAGCTGCTGCTCACTTGCAGTGCTGAGTCCTAATCCATTGCGCCACCAACGGTGGCCCAAAATGAAGTATTTTATGTTGACCTAGAAAACTAACTAATTTAAGCCTCTGTGGAAAATAATTTGGGGGGTGGGAATCAAAGTGTGACCGCTTTAAAGTATTTCACTGAAACATAAATCAGAGAGGTTCATAAAAAGATGTCTTAAGATACGATTTTGAATGAGGGAAAAACCTTCAACTGTATCTTCTTATATCATCCATCATTTAAAAAATGATTCATAAGGCTCAGTGTATGAATCAGATAGGTACTTCTAAAAGAGCAATTCAGTCAAGACCACAGCTAAACATACATAATACACTAAGGTGGCCTCATTCACATATTAAGCTAAAGTCCATAAAATGTCCATAAATTCTTCTGCAGCTTAATTTTACATATCTTCCATAATTCAAATGTAGAACTCTCTAATTCTAAATCTATACTGACTTACATTTAATAATATATGATGGTATCCAAAGATGCAGAGTATATTCTTTCAAATCAATTTCAGATTTTTTCCTTTAAAAAGCAAAAAATTTAAGTTTTAAATTCATTTTATAAGAACAGGAACTATACCTCATACAGGTATTTTGGGAAACCAAATGAATCTTTATGTTATATACAACATAAAAGAGGCTATTTTTCAGATCAAGTAGTTTCTCCACAAGATGAAAATTTCACAGAAATTTAATTTTGTTAATATCCAGAACCTAGCAAAATTTTTCTTTTTCACACTTTGGTTTTTTTCTCTAGAACAGAAATTACTTTATTTTGATATTGTTTAGAAATCCTAATTTACATGGCATATTTAAAAAATACAACTTTTTCTTTAGCCAAGTGATTTCTGACAAGTCTAGAAAACTTTTTAAAGACTTTCTAGGTATATTTACTTTTTCTTCTTTTCTGTTATGAATCATGAACAGGTATAAGTGATTCAAATAAAAACTTCAGGGAGAAACAATGCCAACTTATATCACGGTTTTACATCAGAATATTTTCATTTAAAATGTCACATTTAGGGTATATTAGACAGATATTAAAAGCACAATTAGTGGCCCTCCCTGGTGGCGCAGTGGATTAAAGCACAGCACTGAGAATCTAAAGCTGCTTCCTCATGAGTTCGATTCCTGCCTGCCCCGGAGGTGACCACATGGCGTGGCAGACCTCTCCAGACCCGCCCGCTGCTCCCCTATATTTTAATGCAGGAAAAGGTTGACCCATCTAAACTTTCATTTTTTTAAAAATCTGAGCAAAATGTAGACTTCTGCTTAGACACAAGCACTTAGGTTTTAGCTGCTGATAGCACTGTCTTTATTTAAAATCACCTATTTCAGAAAACTAAACCTCTTTCTAAGACGTACTACAGATCCCTTAAGAAGTTGGCTTTGGGTAGAATAGATACACTCAAATCTCTAATTAGTTTTCATACAAGATAATATGTACTGATAACTAAAATTGGTTATCACTTCAGTTATTGTAATTGTTTAGCACAGTAAGTTTCCTGATTCAGTCTTCTAAGGTAAGGTACAGCAAACTTTTCTTAAAGGGCCAAATTTTAGGTTTTCACACCATATGGATACTGTTGCAACTTATGAACTGTCCCCATTGTAGTTTTAAGGTAACCCTGCTTCAGTTGTGTTATGTTTCAATTAAACTGTATTTACTACAACAGATGAACAGCCTTTGGGCCACAGTCTGCAAACAAGGTTTGATGATCAATAACATTCAATGAACATAAAATCAGACCTCCCTTGTATTTAGAAGTTACATGGAACATGAGCTATTTACATGATAAAGGAATTATGAAAATATTTTCTGAGGTCAGAATTTCAGGTATACTGAAAAACTAAAAGGTGTTAATAAGGCACATATTAAAACGTAATATATGAAAATATGTTAAGTAACCTTACCTTAATCAAATGAAAGAATCTAAACTCTAGTACATGGCTGGTCTCAAACTGAAAATATATTGCATCAAAACTTCAGTTTCTTGTCAAATTCCTAGAGAAACAAAATGTAAAACCTTCAAGTCAGGCCCCCAGTTCCAGGTAAAATAGAGAAATCACACACCAACCTGTCTGACTGAAAAGTTGGTTAGCTACAAGACCTAGATAGAGTACACAGAGAAGTTTCTTGAAGGCAATAAAAAGTAAACAGTAGTGTAGATTGACAGAATTTGAAGTAACACTGAAACACTTTGCTTCTCATTGGTTTCCTCCAATAATATAGCTCTACTCCCAGAAGTGGGCATTAAGCACAGAAAAAAAGTTTAGACAAAGTCGCTAGTTCTGACACTTTGAGAGGGAAAGTGAATTCATAAAAAGCTGTGGAAATCCCTTCCCTAATCCCTTTTTATCCCATGTTTCTCAAGCACCATCTCCTCTGTCAGTTGTAATGGGGGACCATCAGGACCCTAAAATTTTGAGGTTAGAGCACTGCCTCTCTAATCATAAGTTTTAATAAGATGTGGTGAATCCTGGTGCTCTTTTCCTCATTCTCTGTTATCTTCCTGCTGTGTGGTCCTGGATATGATTACAGTTGTAGTGAGTGTACATTAGAGGGGGATAAAGCCCTACCATTTTGGTCAGAGAATGTAAATTGGCAGTCCTGGGAAATAAAATTTACCAGTAAATCACAGAGAAGGGGGAGCTAACTGAAAATTTAACTGATCTAGGGGAATTTGCAGTCTGAATCTAACTAGATTTGATTATCTACTAAAACAAATATATCATTATTCCTCATAGAATTTAGACAAGAACAAAAGTATCACAACATAAGTGAAAATGTCCAGGATACAATCCAAAATTACTTGGCACAAGAAGAACCAGAAAAATCTCAACTTGCATGAGAAAAGATGTCAATACAAAGAAAACACAGAAAAATATTGAAGTTATGATAACAACTGTTACAGACTGTTTCAAGAAGAGCAAACATTCTTGAAACAAATAGAAAAAAAAAAAGCATGGCTCAGAAAATAAATCAAAGATATGAAAGAACCAAATGTAAATAGGAGAGATAGAACATGTCAATAACCAAAATAAAAGGCTCACTAGAGAAGCTCAATAACAGCATGGAGATGACAAAAGAAAAAGTAAGTGAACTAAGTACATACAAACAGAAATTATCCAATGTGAACAGAGAAAAGATTAGAAAGAAAAGAGTGCCTTAAGTCCAACCTTTGTGACATGAAAATCTCAAATAGAGAAGAGTTCAGTGTAAATAAAAATATTTTAAGGAAAAAATTTCCAAATTTGTTGAAGGACTTAAGCTTAGAGATTTAGGAAGATAATGAACTCCCAAGTAAGATAAATACAAAGACACCCATGCTGAGCAATATCCTAACTAAACTTTAGAAACTTAAGACAAAAAAAAAAATCTTTAAAGCAATCAGAAAAAAATTAACATTACTTATAAGAGGGAAAGGTATTTCAAGCCTGTGGATTTATTTCAGAAACGATACAGATCAGAAGGAAGTATTTTTTAAGTGCTCAAAGAAACATTAACAACCCAGAATTCTATATCCAGCAAAAATATTCTTTGGAGCTAAAGGCAAATGAAAACATTCCTCGATGAAGGAAAACTAAGAAAATGTGTTCACACGCATTAACCACCTTAGCACAGATACCTTGTAGAGAAAAACTAAAATTCAACCTTTTAGTTAAATTTATCTATGTCCTCTTTTCCCTCTCCATCTTCAACATAGACCGTAGTCCCTTAAACCTAGAGAGATCTTTTGAGACATGACTCCAAAAAAGTGGCCAACAGTATATCAAGCAATCTGAACTTTGAAGTATAACCACTGAGATAACATCCCTTAAAGAAGCTGCAGTTCCTTTTTTTAGACTGTGGATCTTTGGAATGATAAATCTGCCATTTTCACTTCATTATCTGAAAGTGAGAGTTGGCTTGTGAAAACAAGCTATAGATGTATAGCAAAAAAGCACATAACAACATGTCAAACATTATTTGCCACAGGAAATGACAATTTAAAACCATTACAAGATACTATTCCAAACCTATTAGAATATCCACAATTAAAGAATGGCCATAGCAAGTGATCATAAAATAGGCAGGATAACTAGAACTATTATACATTGCTGATGGAAATAAAATATTATAGCCACTTTGTAAAATGAGGCTGGTGATTGCTTCTAAAGTTAAATTATACACTTAGAATATCGCTCAACAATCCTACTAGTATGCATTCAACCAACAGTAATACAAACTCATATTTACACTGACTATACATAAATATATTAACACCCTTACTCAAAACTGCTAAAAACTTTAAACAAAGTCCTTCAATCAATGAATGGATAAATAAACTGTAGTACATTCATACAATTAAACACTATCAGCAGTAAAAAGGAATGGAATACTGATAGCCACAACTAAGATAAACTGTACCTACTGCGTTAGGAAATGCAGGTGTAACCACTTCATATCACTGAATTCTGTATTATTTCATTTAATGGCCATTTTTCAGAAGAGAAAACTAGAATGACAGAATGATTGGCAGGGATAAACTATAAAGTTATAGCTGAGCTAATTTTAAGAACTAGTGAAAACTGTCTGGATACTAATTGTGTTGACCAGTACTTGAATCTACACACAAGTTAACATTCATCAACTGCACACAATTTTACTACATGTTCATTAAAACATTTAAATGAACATTTAAATTTTGATACTTAAAAAAAACAAGACTTTTTCTAGGCGTTTATAATCTATAAAAATCCTCTTGTTTATTTTAGCTACTTTTAAGATAGAGCAAGTGCCAAATTTCTCAGGTCAACCCAAAATGTAAAAAGAAATGGAGTAATTAACAGCCTAAATTTCTTTTCCTATAGGCAGAGCATCACCACCTGCAAAGGAGTAACCTGCTAAACCTCACAATCCCACCTAACTAAAGAGTAAATCTTGACATCTAGTTAATGACAACGTGAAAGAACTTACACTAGTCTTTTTTTTTTATTTATTACAAAGTTTATTTTTACATCATTTTGCACATTTTTTTTCCATCTCGATTGTAATCCCCGCGGGTCTCCCATCACCAAATCACCCCTGTGCCACCACCATAGTCCCGTGCATTTCCCTCCCTTCCCCCCCCCATTTTTGATCCCATTCCCCACTCCACCCCCACAGAATGTCTCTGGTATATGGTTGTTCATTATTTTTGTTATCTTCTTGCCTGGTCCATTATACTCCTGCTATGAGTAAAACCATGCAGTATTTTTCCTTCTCTTTCTGGCTTATCTCACTAAGCATGATCTTTTCCAGCTCCATCCAAGTTGCTGCAAAAGACATGTGTTTCTCTTTTTTGGTTGCTGAGTAATATTCCATTGTATATATGTACCACATCTTTCTAATCCAGTCATCTACTTTTGGGCATTTGGGCTGCTTCCATGTTTTTCCAATTGTAAATAAAGCAGCAATAAACATGGGGGTACAAGTATCTTTTTCAATCAGTGTTTTTGTGTCTTTTGGGTAGATACCTAGGAGTAGGATTGCTGGGTCGTAGGGAAGCTCCATGTTTAGCAGTTTGAGGAACCTCCAAACAGTTTTCCATAGTGGTTGTACTAGTTTGCATTCCCACAAACAATGCAGGAGAGTTCCTTTTTCTCCACATCCTCGCCAACATTTGTTGTTGCTAGTTGTTTGAAGATGTGCCATTCTCACTGGGGTGAGGTGGTATCTCATTGTGGTTTTAATTTGCATCTCCCTTATTACGGGTGATGTTGAACATTTTTTCATATGCCTGTTGACACTAGTCTTTTTAAAAAAACTTATTCTTTTTAAGGTTTATTTATTTATGCATACAGAACTGGGGTACAGGCCAGAGGTACAGGGGCGGTGAGAGAATTCACCAGAGACAGTGGGGAGCAGAACAGTCCGACTGATGAAGTACACTGCTGAGGGGAGCTGTGGATGGGTCAGGAGAAGTCTGCCGTGCCACACTGAAGTCTTTTTTAAAGGATACTAATTTATAGTCAAAGAACACTAGGAAAGGGGAAAATGTGATTAATTCTACTTGTACAGAGAGCATCTTGCAAATAAAAAGGTAAAACCAGCATTCATTTCTCTCTTTATTATCAGGGAAAAGTTGCTTTACTTAAGTAAGTAGCATACAGTAAAACAAGGATGTAGATCAGATAACATACTTTAAAATTAATTCTACTCTTCTGCAAGAGTCTATCTTACTATAGACTTCCAGTAGTATTGTAAAATAACTATAAGCTTCCACTATACTAACATACACATGACACAAAACATTCAAATCTATACACTACAAATATTAAATTTAAAAATCTAAGCACAAAGCTACAATGTCTCCTGAACACTTTTATCATATTATTTAAAATGTTAGATTTTCATCTCAGGCTTTATTTTAAAAACCATTCGCAGCCCTCTCTGGTGGTATAATGGGTTAGGACACAGCACTGCAGGCTGGCTGGAGCCACTTCAGTGCAAGTTCAATCCCTGGCCCAGGTGATCTACATGGCATGGCAGAACTCTCCTGTCTCGCCCGCTGCTCCCCTCAGTGGTGTACTTCCTGGATCTGCCTGTTCTGCTCCCCTCTGTGTCTGGTGAAGCCACTCACCATCCTAAACTTCTAGCTTGTACCCAGTTGTGAACGCACAAATACATAAAAATCTTTGGAAAAAATCTCACTTGCAGCCAACTTTTTTATATTTTAATGAAACTCAGCAATTAACTTGTTTTTAACATGAAACTGTTCTCAACTGTATTAGTAAATTTACCAACAATTTCACACTGAATACTTTCATATTTGAAATAACCAGAAATTAAAAAAAAAAAAAAAGGTCAATCTGCAATTGCATTATCTTTAAATGGAAAACATAAAACCTTGTGGGGTACAGTTTTTGCCTGCAGGCCTTTTGTTTTCCTAAAATTACATTCAATTAGAAGTGAGTGGCCTGCTTTAGGCTTATTTTTCCCAGGAACACATTTGGAAAAATGTAAGACTTACACCTGGCACT